ACACACACACACACACACACACACACACACGTATGTAAATCTGTTGCAGTTAGAGCTGTTTTTGGCTCTTTACGTTCGAAGTCACACATCAGTCATCTTACTGATGTACTTTCCTTTATACGTCTTCCTCAAGCCCAGTGCATGCTGGGTAAAGACCAGTGTGTCCAGGCTTCTTATATTTCATTGCAAGGTGTTTATGTTTGTGTTTGGATGCAGCGAGTGTTTGTGAACACACTGAGATCAGATCTGAGATGTTTGAGCTGGTTTGTGATCTGTGAGAGTTAGAGAGTTAGTGTACGTCCCAGCTGAAAGAAGTTCCCGTCAGTGAGAATGTGAAGCACGAGACGCACGTTCCTCCGTGAAGGAATGTTTATGAGCATTATATGCACACACACACACACACACACACACACAAAATCTTTGACCTGGTTGACGAGACTTAACCAGCACAGCACTAACTCTGAAGCGTCTCGGGCGTGAGCTGACCTCTGACCTCTGACAGCATGACCCTGATTATTGACATGTTTGAATCTTTGTCCTGCATTGAACATCTGTTATCAGTCACTGCGCTGTTCATCATCATCATCATTATCATCATCAGAATGATTTTGCTGTGTTAAACTCTGATGTGTGTTTTGGGGAGCGGAGCGGAGCTGTAATATCAGACTGCTACATGATTTATGATAGATTACATTCAGATGAATGATTCATGAGCTGAATAAGATTCATTATGACCAGAGACTGAGAGAACGACTCTTTACTGCGCATTGAGATACTGATCGAATGAAGTCAGATGTGTTCTAACAGACAAACACAATAAATAAATGAATGAGCTGCTCTTACAATAATGTGTTCATAACACACACACATCATGATGAGATCAGTGACTCTACTGACCTCTGCTGGAGAACATCAGGAACTTCAGTTCTGAGACACTCTCCAAAAATAATAGAAAAGAATAGAATTTTTAATCTACATTTTTAATTTTATGTTACAATACTACACTCATTCTGGCAGATCATAAACGGAACAAATAAAATGGACTAAAAAATAAACAAAAATCATGTTTATGTAAAAGAAAAAAATTTTTCTTAAAGGTTTTGGAGTGACAAATCCAGTTAGAACTCTCAAAAATAATCGAAATTTAAAAAATAAAAAAAAAGATAAAAAATTGAAAATTATAACCAACTTTATATATTTATCATCAATAAGTCCAGTTTGTTTCAATCTCATACATTTTAACTATTACATTTTTTTTTTACTTAAATTTAATTGTTGTCGCAATTTATGCTGGATTTATGCAATTTGAATAAATGCGTTGAAAATATTTGTATTTAAATAAAAATCAAACAGATGCAAATAGTTAATTAATAATTAATTAATTAATTAATTAATTAATTGATTGTTTGAGTGCAGAAACTGATCTGTTTAATTTATGTTTGACTGACAAATATGAATCACATTAAGTTTATGATGCGATTTCAATTTTTCCTTTCTCTTTTGAAGTAGGGCTGTGCAATTAATCACGTGATTGTCAAGCGCATCTCGTCAGTAAAGCCGGTTCTGTGATTAGTAGTAGATCTCCATCACCTGCTTTCAGATGGAGCTGCATTTACTACACAGAGCCGGAGTTCACTGACAAGCTAGGCAATATCGCGTTCATAATCGAATGCGATTCATCTGCGATTATGAATGCGATATTGCCTAATTGTCAGTGAACTACGGCTCGTTCTAACACGCCCCCACATATCTACGTCACGATGTGGGAAGATTTGCATAACGCCGTCCAAATGTTCACGCAAAGAAAGAAGGCGTAACTTTTATTCTCGCTGTAGTATTGTTGCCGCCGCATGTCGTGAAGACACTGAGCAGTGTAGAGTAGCACTTGTTTGTCATTTCTCCGATCACAAATGCCGACATGGGTTTTTGTTTACGCGGCGTGATGCAACGCAACGTGTAAAAAGACAGTATAAGTCATTATAATCCGTTTATGTCCCCACTGGATGCAACGAATGCCTCGTTTATAATGGGTTTTCATGTCTTTGTCTCGTCGCTCCGGCCGGACAGGGCATCACAGTATGTGGTGAGGGGCGCAACATTTCCGTCACACGCTTGAGGTATTCAGCCAATCACAACGCATTGGATAGCTGGCCAATCACAGCACACCTCGCTTTTCAGACCGATGAGCTTTGTAAAAATCGACGCGTTTCAGAAAGGCGGGTCATAGAGGAGAAACAATAATGTACAGTATGTGGAAAATAATGTGTTTTTTGAACCTTAAACCGCATAAACACATTTCATTACACAAAATACACAACATAATGTTGTTTTTAGCAGCATCATATAACCCCTTTAAAACTGTGTAATCCAAATGAATGCAAATGCAATTCAGGTGAGCAAAAATATGCAATTCAGATGTGAAATATGCAATATATGCAAAAATATATAAAAATATATAATATAAAAATATATGCAAAAATATGCAATTCAGATGTGCATTTATGATAAAAAATAATATATTTAATGTTAATGTATCACACTTGTGCATTTATAGTACCTTCAGTTGTTGAAAATGTTTCTTAATTTTGCTATTATAATCATTAATTATTATTATTTATTAATAATATAATTAATAATTATAAAAATTATAATTATAAATAAGTATTATAATACATTTTTATATATTATTGTTATAATTGTTATAAGTTAATAATTAATAAATTGCATAATTTCTGAGGGAAAAGATGTAGTTTGTGGCAAATATTTGCTACTGTGACGTGATTTGATGAGTTGAGAATATTCTAGAGATGCTGCGTGTTGTTGATGAGTTGTTGTTGTTGTTGTTGTTGTTTGCTCTGGTCACATGATCTCGCTCCTCCAGTAGAGGGCTTGTGAGCTGCGCATGCGCACTGCTCAGTGCTGTCAGTCACCTCACCGCGTCTGGCGGATCTCTCGGGCTCTCAGTGCGGGTAAGAAATCATCAGCTATGAGGCAGAATCTGCGCTTTTGTGTTTAATCTGCTCCACGGGTGTGAGATTGTGTCGTGATGAGTGTGATGTGTGTGTGATTTCCCTACAGCCGCAGTTGTGTGTGTGTGTTAACGCTGCTCGGCCAACGTGTGTGTTTCTGCCGTTTAAAGCCAGTGGAGATGAAGATGTAGCTCGTGTGTGTGTTTGAAGTGTAACAGTGTATGTTTGATGTGTGACGCGTTACAATGTTTCTCCGTCAGCCGCTGACGCGCCGCGAATGTTACATTGTTTCTCCCGCGCCGCTGTCGTGTTCTTCTCCTCTCACTCTGTCTTTCTGTCCGTCTGTCATCACATGTGTGTGTTTGTGCTGAAGTCGCCATTTTCCTGCGCTCGTCATGGATGTTGTGTGTGTTTCGCATTTTGAGTTCGTGATCCTGAGACTCTTTCTTCTTCAGTCTTCTCGTGTGAATCATTCGGAGCTGCTGCACCTGTTGAATTTCACGTTTACTTCAGATTTCATGGACATCACTGTGTCTGTGTGTACAGTATTAAAATGGTTTACTGTAGAAAAATGCCGTGTTTACTTTGTTTTCAGTTTTCCTGCTGGAGTCTTTGCTTTCTGAATCAATGCTTTTGATGCTTTCAGGAGCAAATCCTCAGAAAGGGTTATGATCAGATAACGTGTTCATCCTGACTAAAGTGTAGTGTGAGTTGTTTTATTTAGTTAACCCGTTTAATCCCAAATTTTCCCAGACATGAAAATATCCAAATGATGTGTCGTTACTAGTAACCCTTTTTGAATTTTTTTTTTGGAAAAGTGTGTGAAAAACTGTGGGATAATGTACTGAATTAACATATTTCTGCAGTCATCAAAATTTAGAGATGCACCGATTGCAATTTTCTTGGCCGATTCCGATTTCCGATTTTTCGTTAGTGTGATCTGCCGATTCCGATTTTCTTTCTAAGAACTATAATTGACCGCTTATACAAACAAAAATCTACTTTTCTTCAACGCAAAGTTTTATTTTCATAAAAAAACACAAGTAAAAAGTCAGTAATAAAATAAGAACAAATAAAAAAATGGCAAACAACAGCACAAATAAATGCAACAGAATAAAGAGAGCTATGAAATTAAGTTTTTCAGGTTAAGTAGGTTTTTATTCAGGAAAGAAATACTACAGAAATTAAAGTAATCAAATGTAAAATAGCACATCCATTGTTATTTTACATTTGATTACTTTAATTTCTGTAGTCTTCATTGTTAAAATTAAATACAGATTAATGCTTACCATTAAAGTTATAAAACGTATTCAGTCAAGAGCAGAAAGTGATTTTCTTTGTCTTTTGTTCTTTGATTAACATGACAGACAGCAGCACGAATATTGGACTGCAGTCCCTGTAAGAGTTTATCCACGGACCCAATATACTGTTACACAACATGCGATCTCTTTCTCAAGTATTTAAGTATTGGACTGCTGCCCCTTTAAGAGTTTATCCACGCACCCAATATACTGTTACACAACATGCGTTCTCTTTCTCAACTATTTAACGTTCCAAAACTGACTCTGTGTAACTGGATACTCGCCAAGACGGGCCTTTTGACATAATTTTGTATGTATTTGAACGTTTTAGCGCATTTAGCCACTCGTTTTGGTATTTGTGGCTCACAAGCTGTTTGAGACTGAGTGCGGCTTGTGCGCTCCACTAATATAGATCAGTTGTGGTGCGCACGCGTTTGGTATAAGCACGAAACCTGTGGGAATGACTAAAATAATGCGCAATACAAGCACTATTTAACCGGAGCGAATGAGACGTGTGTGAGAGAGAAGGGGTCGTCGGAGAGAAGAGAGCGAGAATGCGCGGCTGATGTTATTGCCGGTGCCGCTGGTAACAAAATGGATCGGCTCGGAATCGGAAAGAAGTGAGACCGACCGACCGATCACCGATCCGGGCCGATCATGAGGAAAATCGGCCGATTCCGATTCCTGGCCGATCGATCGGTGCATCTCTATCAAAATTGTTATATATCTTAGCCCAGCTGTTTTAAACAGTTTCTAGGGTTACTGTTATGTAATTTTATATTAGTGCTACCAGTATTATAACATCAATATTGTAACTTATTTGTAACATTTTAATTTTTTATTTAGTGCAATAGGCCTATTTTGTCATTGCAACATTTTAGTGCAATTTTCACTAACAACTGCAATTGGGTTTATATTGTATACCTAAATTATCCCACCGGTACCGCTATTGTGACCATCAAGATGTTTACTCATTCTATGACCACACTCAACAAAACTGAATATATGTGAATTCATATATTAATACTAGACACCTTAAAGATAATGTGTACCAAAAATCTTTGTCATATCTTTTTGTTGACATACTTTACTAGCCTTTCGTTTTGGAGCTTTGATGCAGCATCATTTTCTCAAGGTGCAAACAGGAAGTAAACTGCTTTGATCATGTGACAGTTTGCACTAAACGTGACACTGCACATATTTAATTGAGACCCTTTATTTGTTCCATATTTGTAGGAAATGCACTAAAACATCAGTCAGTAATGTTATTAGAGCTTTATAAATGAAAACCATCTTTACAGTCACTATTGTGAGCGCTGGGATTAAATGGGTTAATCATGTAGTTTTGTTTGTTTGTAGGGCATCAAAACATCTTCATGTTTCATGTCAACTCATTTGATATGATACAAGTGACGAATTTGTGCTGGAATGGATTCCATTCAGAAATAGATAAATTATTCATTTTGCCATTACAATAAACTAGGGGTTTGCAATATATATCGTAATTGTTGTTTTAACGATGTGTGATTTGACGTTATCGAGTAGGCTATATCGCAAAAACCAAACAAAACACACCTACAGAGTGCGTGCATACAAGTCTAGTAGGTTAGACCAGTGTGCGTGTGTTCTTTCACTGCATGATTCAGTCTATTCAAATGCATTTAAAATGATCACAAAATTCAAGATATGGGGGCGGAAAATGTATATAGTTATATCTTTTCATGTAGTTAATCAGTATCGCACGAAGAGTGCCAGTTTTTCGCCTCCAAAAAACAGCATGATTACAAATGTGATATTAATTTAATTCAACAGTTCAATAAACAAGAAGTTAATATTAAGCGACTTACGTTTTAGACACCATATTGGCTGTTTTTGCGCTATTTCGACAACAAAAATAACTCCAAACACAGTCACAGCACTGTTTTGCGTCTCTGAGCAACATGACGGTGTTTCGTTCCTGAATGAATCAAGTGTTTAAATTATTCAGTTCAGTCGCAATGACTTGCTTATTAATAGTGACTTGCTGCCACCTGCTGGCGGTTTTAATTTCACATTTATAGTATCTTTTCATTTTTTAAATAATTTCAAATATCAGTATTCAACGTTTTATGTTTAAAATAGAATCAAGTGTTTAAATGATTCGGTTCAGTCGCAATGACTCGCTTATTAATAGTGACTTGCTGCCACCTGCTGGCGTTTTTAATTTCACATTTACAGTATCTTTTCATTTTTTAAATTTCAAATATCAGTATTCAACGTTTTATGTTTAAAATATCAAAACATTATTTATGCATTTGTAACTGCAGGTTAAATGCATTATTGTCCCTCTGAGCTGCGTTAAAGAGGTCCTATGATTCGATTTCAAGTTTTTCTTTCTCTTTGGAGTGTTACAAGCTGTTTGTGCATAGATAAGATCCGTAAAATCGCAAAGGCTTAAGTCTCAAACCCAAAGAGATATTCTTTATAAAAGTTCAAACTCGTCCACGCCCTCCTAAAACGCCTCGTTTAAACACGCTAGGCTTGCAGCGATAGACGGTGATAGACATTTGGCACTGACCCCCACCGTCGTTTTGATTTTTTATAGTAATAAAAATCATTTAGTTCAGTAAAAGAACAGACACTACAATTAAAAACTGAACGTTGCATTCAAGCAATTGACGCAGAACTGCCGCTAATTCGAAAGTGAAAGTAAAATGCGCACAGCGGTTTTAAGCTATTTAAAAGCCGAAGGAAAAGAGGGAATATTCAAACGAACTAAAAATGAACAATTGCTTTACTCTGAACTGCCGCTATTTGAAAGTGAAAGTAAAATGCACACGCCGCTTTTACAAGCTATTTAAAAGGAAGGAAAGCGAGGAAAAGAGGGAACGCCCCCGCGGTGATACCGGTATTACCGGTGTTGTCACACGTCGATTAACCGGTGAGAAAATTCCCTCACTGTCACAACCCTAAAACACGCCCCACATGTCTACGTCACTGTGTGGGAAGATTTGCATAACACCGCCCAAATGTTCACACAAAGAAAGAAGGCGTAACCTTTTTAAGTTTCCTCTGCATTGCAAAAGTGAATTTTGTTGATACTGATTTCATTTGCCTGGTAACAGCCCAAAAATGTCTTCTTATTCTAATTGACTGATTAAAAGTAAGAATTTCACTCAAAAGATGATGCACACTCTTAGAAAAAATGGCTTTATAAAGGGAAAAATGCCCATAAAATCTATTTAAGCTTATTGGAAAAGATTAATTTCTGCTGTGAACTGACCGACAACACACAGAATATGAAGAATATCAAAAACTTTAGGAGTCAGCTGTCCTTAAGATACCAGCACAATAACACACTCAGCAAAATATCGACTGATTATTGTTAGTGATAAAATCCCAGAAAATATGGAGATATTTTTTGTCAATATCGCACACCCCTACTATAAACAATTATATAATTACTGTTGTATAACTATTATATAGGCTATAATATGATTAAATAAGAATTATGTAATCAGAACCGACCTTTTGTGCAGTTGACAACAATGTTATTTTAGTATAATTGAGATACTATTATAGTTTTTATTAATATTTTTTTTATCATTTTTTATATTTTCTGTTTTTTATTTTAGTTTTTTTTGTAATTTTGTTGTTGTGTTTTTGTCATTTTTCTCAGTTTTTTTTTAAATATGTCTATATAGTTTTCATTAACTTTAT